CCCTCTTCTCCGGCACAGGCGCACAGCGACACCTATTCTCTGGCGACCGGCAGTGGCACTCTTCTCCGGCACCGACAGCAGGAGCTTTTTAAGGTTTATTTTATTTATGCTTCTGCTGTTCTGCTTTTTATAATAGATGAGTTGTCAATCTGTGAAGAGTTTATGAAGTACATGAATGAAGAATCTCTTAAGCATATGAATGATGAAGAGTTTAAAATGGAGGAAAGGAGTTGGTGGTTCAAGTACAAGAAGAGTGGACCCATTTTGACTTGACTTCGTAAACTTTTTGAAAATTAAAAATACTCACTCCTCTTTCTTTCTTTCTTCTTCTCGGCTTCACCTACTCTTTGCAACTGTTGACTTTTTTTTTCAAAACCCTTTTTTTCAAAGTTCCCCTCTTTCTTTCTTCTTCATTTTGCTTCTGGTTTCTACATCTGTTTACTGCTTTATGAATCATCTTACTGCTTCTATCTTACTGTTTAAGTTTTTGATAAAGTTAAAATGTAAACAGTAGATAATAGTGGAGAACCTTTAGACAACTTGCGCAATGATCTTCCCTCTATGCCTAGCAAACAGATATGATTCGAGAAAGTCAAAAGGAGAAAGTACAAGAAGCCATTGGTAGCGGTGAAACTGAAACAGGTAGTGGGTTAAATCAAGAGCTTTCTCTTGGAAGACCTGGAGATACACGATGGGGTTCACACTACAAAACACTTAAGCGTTTGGTTGATTTGTTTCCATCTGTTACTGAGGTGCTTGAGTATGTTGAAGATGTGTGCGAAAATCCTTACAACCAACGTCAAGCAAAAGATCTTCAAATATATTTCCAATCATTTGATAGTGTGTTTTATTTGCACTTGATGTTGCATATTTTGGGAGTCACATAATCATTGTCACAGGCTCTTCAGAAAAAAGATCTAGACATCTTGAATGCTGATGGATTTTGTTTTCATTGGTGAAGTCAACCAAGTGACAGTTGCAACAATTTAGAGTTGATGGATTTTGTCAGCTTCTTGAGAAGATCTCTTCTTTTTGCGAAAAACACAACATCGGAACAGAGTTTATTACGACATTATTACGAGTACGAATGTTTTAACACGGTTATGGATATGCAAATTCAAGAGTTTGGTGACAGATTTGATGAGATAAGTTCCGAATTGCTCACTTGTATGGTCGTATTGGATCCTCATTACTCATTTTGTGACTTTGACCCATCAAAATTACTAAGGTTGACAGAGTTTTATCCTGATGATTTTAGCAATGACGAAAGAACTACTCTTGAGCACCAACTTCAACTATACATTGACAATGTCCAACATGATGAATTATTTGCTAATTTGAAAGGTATATCCTAGTTCGGTAGAGTGATGATTGAAACAAGGAAACATCTTGCGTTTCCTTTGGTTTATCGATTATTGAAGCTTGCATTGGTTTTGCCTGTTGCAACCGCAACAGTTGAGAGATGTTTTTCTGTAATGAAGCTTGTGAAGCCAGCCTTGCGCAATCGAATTTGTGACGATTTTTTTAATGCGTGTGTCATTTGTGCCGTAGAAAAAGAAGTACTTGCTAAGGTTACAAATCAAGATGTAATGACTCGGTTTCAAATGATGAAAACT